TGGTACTTTTTGAACATCTCCAGCACATTTTAGCAATACCGTGATAATACTGATAACCGTGATAATTTTGGTCACTATAATCATGATAAGAAATTTTCATACCATTACATCCCTATGCTCATGTTAATAAAACAGTGCCATGCTTCACTCTAAAACACACAGTTCATCAGACTATATATTTAAATACATAAAATCACACCAACTGGCAAGTACCACCGTCTTAAGAAAATATGGAAAATCCCTGGTACACTTCACATACAAGTCAACATGAAAATATGCTCATTTAAAATAAAATGTATTGTAAAAATATAGTAAGTGCTACAATCTGTTCCTGATCATCAGTTCTGCGCAATATCCCTCAGGGTTTCCAGACATACAGATAACAGATCATAAACAATAAAAGCACTACAGCACACACAATACACAGATCTAATCAGCTGCAGCAATTGAATAAATAGTGAACTGACCTTCAGCTAACTATTCAACCTAAAAGTGTAATACACTTCAGGCTATGAACTTATTTTGTTGATCCAAATGAATCCATATAGTAGGGGTTGAACGACTTCAGATTTTTAAAAGTCTACATTTATGTGATGAAAGTCGAGTCGACGTCGACTAGATGTCATTAATGAACAAATAAGCCTGAACCTGGAGCTGAGACTCGAGCACCTTGTGCACAGCTATGGCATATGACACAGCGCTGTAACAGCTCATTTTTATCAGTTCTTTTGTCTTTGGGTTGTTATGTTTCTCACAGATTTCTGTTCGTTCTAAATCAGATAAAGCAGCACAGTAAAGATTATATTTATATGAATGCATTAGTGAGAGAGCGATTGCTTGTGTGAATTAATTCAACCTGGCAGTGTCTCTATACTAATAGTGAAGCTGTGGGATTTAGTTACTAAGAAATATATGCTAGAACTTTTCAGTTTCTATTTTTCTATTTAGATTTTTATTTTAGAACGGCGGTTAACTTAACTGTACAAGAAGTGGTTTAAAACTTGCATTCTCCCGTTCAATTTCAAGCATCCAGATGGTATAATCACGCATGTCTTGTGGAGCGCTTTCAGAGTATGCATTTATTTGTCACTTTAACTGTTTGGAAACGGAGCGTAAATGTGGACTTCAATGATTTCTTATCCTGTTGCGCCTTCTATAGGACCAGCGACTAGTCGACGTTAGGGCTGTCAAAAAAAAAATTGAATTTCGAATATTCGTCGAATTTAAAATAGAAATCCACATTCAAACGTTGCATTTGAATGTTAGGTGTGTGTTAAGGAGGCAGCTGGAGCATAAATGTAGACTTCAATGATTTCTTATCCTGTTGCGCCTTCTATAGGACCAGCGACTAGTCGACGTTAGGGCTGTCAAAAAAAAATTTGAATTTCGAATATTCGTCGAATTTAAAATAGAAATCCACATTCAAACGTTGCATTTGAATGTTAGGTGTGTGTTAAGGAGGCAGCCTTATCAGTGGCACACGAGATGCGATGACGATATAAGTGTCATTGCATTTTAATGTTTTTGTTAACCTATCCAGTTGAAGCCACTAGATGTGGCGCTACTGCATTGTTAATTACAAATATTGCGGGAAAAGAGAACATCAATGTGGAGATCTTGTTTACGTCAAAACTGAAACCAAGCCATTCACACAGAATGCATATTTTGCACATTTTCTAGAGAGGGACGTTTATTACCGTTGCACTCGCATCTCGCACAAAGCCGCCGCATGTTTAGAAAGCCATGTAAAATTAATGCAAGTTCAACTTTGAAAAAACATACCTCGAGACTTTATGGTGGGTTTTTTCCCCATTCCACTGCAACTCGTGTTTTTAAATGAAAAATGTACTCTGTGTGATTTCAGTCCTTTGTATTAAACTATGCATACATACATTATGCTGTTTTTATTTATTGTTGTTTAAGCAACTTAATTATAAATTGGTTTATAAGCATTATTTTAAACATTATGCACTTTGAATAAACGTGCATTAGTGATATTTTGCTCGATGCGCCCTCTTGTGGCCTCAGGAGAGAAGCCAAAAGCTTTTCTTCACCCTAACTGAAATTATGCATTTTAAATTAGAATATAATTCGAATTTTGATCATATTTAAGTAAACAAATTATAATTTAGTTTTTCAGCTATTTTGACAGCCCAAGTCGACGTCAAGCTTAAAGAGTCATGGCTGGTACATTATTCCAGAAATTATTCCAAAATCGGGGCTGTGAGCAACAAACTTCCCTATTCTGTAAAACAGGTCATGTAGCTTCCAGTTCAGGTCTTTTGGATGTGCTTCATTAAATATGGAGCTGTTTTACTCAAGATGCCTTCAAAAGAAATATCAAAGATGAGCATAATCAATGTCCATCACCTATGCAGACTGAGATGTGAAAGTTTATTTTATTATTATTGTTTTTCTTTTTCTTACCAACATTCAGATATTTAAACTGAATATAGATATCACCATCACTTCATAAAAACGGATGCGATAAGCTACTATATAATCCAAATGCACATTTATCGATTTGCCCATCAGCAACCCTGTTGCGGCTGTACAAAAGAAGATTTTTAGAGAAAATATATATTATCCACGACACAAAAAGTCCTTTGTTTTGGGGATTTGTTTCAGAAGTTGTGTTGCTGTACAATGACCCAGCTAAGCTGTCTGGGTGTTATACAAGGGAAATAAATGTACCCACAACAGCTGTGCTGACAGATTACAGTGAATAAGACACTGGAAGAGGAACCACCATTACTTCCATTCTGCACTCCAGTCATGATGTAGTCTAAAACACTAACACAAGCACACAAAACACTGTACATAAACGTGTCATTTTAATGCAAACTGCCAAATGATAATGTGTTCTGTGAGAAACACAAACTGATTTTTGCTTGCTTTAAATGCTAATCTTGCAAGACACTCAGTTCCACCAAAGCTCTCATGAAAAACAGCTGACCATGGCATGTACTTTTACTAGCTGGTAAATATTTACATCAAAAACAGACAGAGCAAGCGAAGCCACTGAACAAAGTTCGTAAGTTCAACTAAGATGTTTGCGGTCAACAATCTAAGGTCAAATAAAGCAGATTACTTCCAACTTCTAGTATATCATCCTTTACATCTGAGGTACTGTGTAACACTCACAAAGTTATGTTAAAGTTTAAATAAAGAAAGTTAACAGTTATTAATCATAATAATAACAATAATAATAATAGATGTATCTTGTATCTGTTTACAAATTGCTATAACTGCTAAAATATAACTTGTCTCATGCCAAAACTACAGTGTAGATTTGTAATGCATCAATATAAGACACAAGTGTAAGCTTTTCACTCTAATGCTTTAATAAAAAAAAAAGCAGAGAGTTCAATCTAATTGCTCCTAAAAGGATTAGACTAGAAATTAGAGGGGGGAAAAACATAAGAAAATGATACCATTCATGTTATCTTGTCAAAGGGACATAAAAAATCCATTGGAGAATAATAACAAAATAATACAGCACCAACTAAAATAAATAGGACTATATATCTACATCGGTTTCTGTTATTCAGCACTGAAAAAGCTAAAGAATTTCCATTAAATAAATACACAAATCAAATTCCTCTTTATGCTTCCTATTTTTCTGTGTGCTTTGGTCAGATGTCGCCAGTTGTGATTTATTTTAAGAGTCATGACGTTTAAGGCATAATTTACATTTGACTGGGCAAGCGCTCGGACTTGATTCTCTCAGCAGTCATAAACTCATGCATAGGCAAAGCTTCTGTGATAGCTTAGATGTAGCACACAAAATCAAACTGTTCATTTATATCCGGTATATGAACATTAGCAAACAAGGTCCAAATACAGACAAAACATCCACTGACATCCTGAAGTATCTCTAATGGACATTCAGTTGTGTAACCCAGCAACACAATACAACTCAGTGACTACAATCTTAATTGTGGCTCTAAAAAAAAAAATTAGATGAAAGTGTCTTCATATCACTTCATGCAGAGGTCTACAATGGTTTATGCTCATCCCATTAGTTTACACCAATTCCTCTCTGAGAGAGCATGTGCAATGTGACCCAAAAGATATGGTTTCTTGTGTTACCCAGATGCTCCTGAATACTTCTGCCTTTAGACTGATATAAATACCGAAGCGATGTGCTCAAATATAACATTGTATTGATTAATTGTCTCTGTAGCCAAAAGAGCGCAGGGATGTGTGGGCAAGTGCGATTCAAGATAAGGGGTGTAGTGGGAACACTGAGTACAGGCACACTGTGCCTCTTATGCATTTTTCAATAAAAGCAAAACTCAAACCTTGATCACAAAGTCTGTTAAGAGACATCCAACGTTTGCCTTGCAGCTCCTTAAATATCCCTGAATAAATATAATAATTAAGGTGCATGCTCATGTAACTCCAGCACTCACCCATATCTTCTCACATGCAAATATGTCCTTTGGCCTTGCCGGCCTCATCAAATGACCCCCCCCCCCTTTTTAAATCACTCATATAGAAACATGTAACAGTCCTCATCCATGAATAATCATAATAAAAAAATAAATAAAAGCTACCAGTAGAGGGGGTTTACATGCAACATATAAAACATGCATGCATGCATGAGCAGCAGCAGCCAGCTAAATGTTATTGGTCAATATTATTGGCACTAACAGTAGTTCAATGCATTACTAGTGTTTTCTCAACTCCACCGAACAGGTCTTCATGTTGGGGACTCGTCAGACCAGTTACTGAGGAAATAAGATGCAAAATCCTGCCAGCAAACGCTGCTCCTGTATGGTGCATGCTCGGATTATATTCAGATGGTATTATGTAGCTATTTTACGAGAAACCAGTGAATTCGATCTCAATGCGGAGTAACACGAGAAACAGCCTCCGGTGGCACATACATATATACACACACACACACACACACACAAAGAGACATGTCATGATACAAATGTACACTCTGTACATGCTTATTGCATTTAAAGGGGTCAAAACTTATTAACACCCACCTGAGGAGCAGGAAATGAGGAACACTCCAAAAGCCAGCTTTGTTGCAGGTCCCATTTTTCAATCTTCTGTCTTGCCCTACAAAATCCAAAAGTCTTTGCATTCAAGTTTCTCCTCGAACCACTGATCAGCAGTCAGTGAAACACATCCATGTCACCGAGTCAGGGATATATGGCAGTGCAAAAATCCAATGCCAGCTTATAGTCCTCAAATTCGGCGATTTAGAAACGGCATTAAAGTGTACACTGGTGATAGTTCATTCAAAGCAGACGAGCTTTTAGAAATAAAGTGATCTATGACTGTCCATGCAGTTTGCTTTAAAACTCACATCAATAACGAGGAAATTCCAATGCGTACGAATACTGTAATGTTGCCCTGCCGCGCGCTCAGAATAAACGAGCTCGTTTAATAAACTCGTTCAGTAAATGGGCCAGCTCCCAAACCCAGTGATCAGCACAACTGGACAACCTATGCATAGAACCCGCCATAAAATATATAGCTAAAAATATTGTTGTTAATGCAAAGGAACTAAAATGTCAAGCAGATAAATGCCTCCAAAGCACCTGGAAAGTCTATGGTAGTACACTAAATCATGCATGCACATTTACGGGGATAAAAATGGAATTAACATCCCTAAACGATGTTTCCGCATCACGCTCACTTTGCTTAATGCTTACATATAATATATGTAGTACAACAGATCATAGATAAAGTGAAATAAATGGGGTCACGCGCACGATTCAGCGCACGCGCGAGCTCAAGTTGACAGTGGAGGACTTAAATATGGCCAAACGCGCTATATCCACATTCCCTTCTGGTGTTAATGACTCAAACCTGCAATTCCCGACCTCACAAAGCTTCTCCAGAACTGCTAAGGTAGGTAGTTAAAACAAACAGTCGTTTTAAACTAAGACATGTCGACGGCTGAATAAAGCTTAGCACATAACGTTACAGCCTCCGAAATAACTTCATCAGCCCCGTCGAGAGCATGACGCCAGAAATGAGACGGAATTGACAGATAATGTCACTACATGTAATCCTTCAATATGTATTGTCCCGGTGTTCGCGGTCGATTGACTTTTTAGAGCGGTCGGAACTCAATTTATCGCGATTTCCCTCTCTGTTGCTGTCAGTCACCGTCGGCTTACTGTATTCAAGATGGACGCCGGGGTGGATTGTTTTTGTTTTTTCTGTCCTCCGCTGCCTTTACCCGCCCATTTCTTTACGTAAGCGCGGCACCGTATTGATTGACAAGCGTTTTACCCAATCAGAACAGCATATGTAAATAATTGAAACCAACCATAGAGCTGGTTACACATAAACCCAGCCCTCTCTATGAGGGGTTTGTGTGTGGCAGTAGAGTGTCAATACGTTATTGTGTAGTTATGCTGCACTTACATATTGGGTAGACCAGGCTAGTCCAATTACAAAAGTATGTATTTTCTCTATTAAAGGTTTTATATATTGGTTTTACCCAGATCAACCCCCCCACCAAAATTATATTTTTGTAATCAAGTGAACACAATAAAGCACACTGCATTCTTTGGTGGATTTTCACAGAAAGGTATTATCCATACATGTCAAGTTGTGGTAAGCTGTCATTGTTAGCTGTCTATACCATTTATTATTTGAAATAGTTTTTGCCCAGACTGATGTGTTTTTTTTTGCTTTTGAACATTTATGCTGTGTTATGAATTGTTTCATAGTTGTTATACAGTTTAAATTTAGCTTAAAAGCATATAATCCGGTTGTTAAGTCTGATGGCACACGTCACCAGGTACAAACAAAACCAGATGGTTAAAGCAAAAAAAAAAAATTGGTACTAATATATACTCACTGTGTGGTGTAGTGCTACTGAAGAATCACGATCCTAACTTTTGTCTCCATACCGAAATCTCAGTTGGCCAGACAGTGATTCATCATTTCTGAATCATTAAAACATTGGTGTCCAAGGACACAGTGAGTTCGGAGACTGTAGTGTGTACCGCCAGATTTGAAAAGATTTGAAAAGTTCTGTTTAGCTTAAAATGAATAGTGCTCACTGCTCATAAACGGCTTTTGAGATGGTATTCACACTTGAGACAGCAGAGAAAGAGGACTTGGTAACAGTCGGATAGGTTATTTTAATGGCATGTTCCACTGTGACAACTTACCCCATAATGTAACAACATGCCTTGCTGTTGATATGTGTTCAATAACAATATCCTTTTCCCCTGGTCAATAACAATGATAATGTTCAAATGCTTTTTTTTTCAAGATTTTAAGATATCTGCATATACAGTAATTCATTTTCAGAAATAAGCCTACCTTAGAAATATTTGTAATTCATGAACAGGAATCATGAGAGATAAACCATTACAGTTTTGTGATAGACAAAGAGGCAGTGAGTGATGTATTGTTTTATTCTTACTAAAAACCATTAAATGCCTGCATGGTTAATGAGAAATAATTTGCTATTGTTGTTGTCAGCCTTTGATGAAAGAACGACAGCTGGATGTTTCACCTTAATACCATTGTTATTGATTTGCCTTTAAATAAAATATCATTCATTATTATTTTTGCTTCATCAATGTATAAACCCAATGCATTTTTCCCAATGAAGTCATTTATAGGTGAGGCGTTTTGACAGGCACTTCTGAATTTATAACAGAGATGAAAGTGCACTGCACTCATACTTGAACTTGCATTATAAAGTGGATTCATCTTGGCATGAGTAATACTAATTTGAACCCCTCTGTGCTATACAGTAAATTATTTTATTATGTTTTTGTACATTTTAAATAACGACTGTGATGTCATGATCAGTAGCAGCTAATTGTTTAATATCATGCAAAAACAATTTTATTCAGACATTTACTCAGACATAAATTCAGGTATAAATACTATAACAAATCATTAGTAGCATAAGATAATTACTAACCAGACCATTTTTTAAATGAAAACCATCATAAATCTACATCACAAGGTCTCCACAGAGGACTGCTCTTAGTGATTTGTGTTCTGCTCTCATTGTAACATAATAGCAACTCCCAACCTGGCCCAATGCAGCCTATGTAATCTGATCCACAAATATTCACACATAATCCCAATACCCTATTTAACCATAAGCATTTTTTTCCCATTGCTGCAGTGATCTGAACCTTTGTTGAAGTCCTTCAGTTTCCACATTCAGTGTCTGTAATGAAAAAGCTGAAAGTTTTGGAACTGAATGTATGAAAAGAGCACTCTGGAGCATATTTCACAATGAAATGTCAATTTTCCACCAACCAGAGGTGACTTTGGAAATCTCCAAACTAAGCTACTGTGAAGGTCAAAGACATGTGATCAATGACAGTGCCCACCGCACTTTGTCTCCCTCTCCTGATATTTCAAACCCGAGAGATTGCTGAAGAACGCTCTTTTCTACTAACCTCCGCAACCTCTTCTTTTCTTTTTAAAAGTGAACCAATGCTGTTCCAGATGGATGGATAGATAGATGGATATAGATGGATGGATATATAGGATGAATGTATACATATATAGATAAACAGTCAATAATCATAATGCATAATAGCATAATAGCTTACTAAAACTAATTTATTATTATTGCATATTAAAGTGAATCTATTTTCACACACTCTCAGAAAAAAAGGTTAAAAAAAGTTGTCACTGGGGCGGTACCTTTTCAAAAGACACACCTTTGTACCAAAAGAGTCCATAATGGTACCTTAATGGTACATATTGGTACCTAAAGTGTACATATTAGTACCTAAAAGGTACGAAAGTGTACCTTTTGAAAACAGCTATTGTACCTTTTTTTCTGAGAACGCATCTGTTTTACATTATTGTGAAAAGGACATGTCAAAAATAATATATTCTACTTTTTACCCCAAAATAACAAATTATAGTTGTAATGATAATAACAATACATTATTATTATTATTATTATTATTATTATTATTATTATTATTATTATTATTATTATTATTATTATTACCTTAATACCATTGTTATTGATTTGCCTTTAAATAAAATATCATTCATTATTATTTTTGCTTCATCAATGTATAAACCCAATGCATTTTTCCCAATGAAGTCATTTATAGGTGAGGCGTTTTGACAGGCACTTCTGAATTTATAACAGAGATGAAAGTGCACTGCACTCATACTTGAACTTGCATTATAAAGTGGATTCATCTTGGCATGAGTAATACTAATTTGAACCCCTCTGTGCTATACAGTAAATTATTTTATTATGTTTTTGTACATTTTAAATAACTACTGTGATGTTGTCATGATCAGTAGCAGCTAATTGTTTAATATCATGCAAAAACAATTTTATTCAGACATTTACTCAGACATAAATTCAGGTATAAATACTATAACAAATCATTAGTAGCATAAGATAATTACTAACCAGACCATTTTTTAAATGAAAACCATCATAAATCTACATCACAAGGTCTCCACAGAGGACTGTTCTTAGTGATTTGTGTTCTGCTCTCATTGTAACATAATAGCAACTCCCAACCTGGCCCAATGCAGCCTATGTAATCTGATCCACAAATATTCACACATAATCCCAATACCCTATTTAACCATAAGCATTTTTTTCCCATTGCTGCAGTGATCTGAACCTTTGTTGAAGTCCTTCAGTTTCCACATTCAGTGTCTGTAATGAAAAAGCTGAAAGTTTTGGAACTGAATGTATGAAAAGAGCACTCTGGAGCATATTTCACAATGAAATGTCAATTTTCCACCAACCAGAGGTGACTTTGGAAATCTCCAAACTAAGCTACTGTGAAGGTCAAAGACATGTGATCAATGACAGTGCCCACCGCACTTTGTCTCCCTCTCCTGATATTTCAAACCCGAGAGATTGCTGAAGAACGCTCTTTTCTACTAACCTCCGCAACCTCTTCTTTTCTTTTTAAAAGTGAACCAATGCTGTTCCAGATGGATGGATAGATAGATGGATATAGATGGATGGATATATAGGATGAATGTATACATATATAGATAAACAGTCAATAATCATAATGCATAATAGCATAATAGCTTACTAAAACTAATTTATTATTATTGCATATTAAAGTGAATCTATTTTCACACACTCTCAGAAAAAAAGGTTAAAAAAAGTTGTCACTGGGGCGGTACCTTTTCAAAAGACACACCTTTGTACCAAAAGAGTCCATAATGGTACCTTAATGGTACATATTGGTACCTAAAGTGTACATATTAGTACCTAAAAGGTACGAAAGTGTACCTTTTGAAAACAGCTATTGTACCTTTTTTTCTGAGAGCGCATCTGTTTTACATTATTGTGAAAAGGACATGTCAAAAATAATATATTCTACTTTTTACCCCAAAATAACAAATTATAGTTGTAATGATAATAACAATACATTATTATTATTATTATTATTATTATTATTATTATTATTATTATTATTATTATTATTATTATTATTATTATTATTATTATTATTATTATTATTATTATTATTATTATTATTATTATTATTATTATTATTATTATTATTATTATTATTATTATTATTATTATTATTATTATTATTATTATTATTATGTGGGGTTTTATTCAGGATAATATATAATTTTTTGGCCATGGTTGAAATTGTTCTTGCAATTGTGAAAAGGCAATTTACAGCATGTTCAAACTACCGAGCACCTTTCCTACCATCTCGCCACATCTGCTCTGTGCTGGACAGGAATTACTTCTCAATTGCTCAAGGCCAGAGCAGTGTTGTCAAGCAATTACAAAGAATCCTTGCCATTGTCATTACCAGGAAACCTCGTTGGTCCATATTGTGCAGCTAATGATTTTGGACTTGTGGTTTATAATCTAGAATGGAATTTCTCTTTTGTGGCCTTTGAGGGATTGTCAACTTGACCATGAGAGGCTGTTAAGTGTTTATCTTCTCTCCAGCTCATCGTAATTAAGAGCTAGGAAATTGGAATTTATCTACAGCAGCCATGCGCTCCAACTGAAGGTCATTACAATAACCCATTTAAACGACATTCCCTCACGTGCCATTTTATTGGCCTTGTGACACACAGGAGCCACTTTGCTAAGTCAATCACCCGCACAATGCTTGAGCGGATACTTAACACATACTTCAACTGACACATTGTCAGCACAGAGTCTCAGTGACAGCAAGCATG